CAAATGCGCTCTAGTGTGAACCCTCAAAGCGGCCGCATGTGCAAAAGATGTCACACACAACACGCTCTGTTTAGACCCAGAGCTTCTCCGGCGCTGATAATTAGCGTCTGTCTTGTGTCAGTGACGTAAAAGACGGATTTAATGTGACCTGACTGTTCAAACAGCAGTCGCTTTCTAAAACATCGGATATGTATCGGATTCAGTACCACATACAAAAGTGACCCAGATCGGATTTGAAAATATCAGATTTGTGCTGTTCACACTGTCATACCATGATCGGATATGGGTCGCATAGGGTCAAAAAAATCGGATTTGATGCGCTTTCCCCTGCAGTGTGAACGTAGCCTTAGTGACACCAGTTACACTGATCGGTCTTCTTACTGACTCACCTTACAGTTCTCACAGCACTCGCCTTCAGCACATTGTGAACCCTCTTTCAGGGTGCAGGTGATGGCGTTGCAGCAGGGATTGGTGCACTCCTACAGGGACGACATATATTAGAACTCATCAGGCTGCTGTTAGGTCTTAGTGCTGGGATGCATTATTAAACATCTGTTTGCTCTGTTCCCGTGAGGAATCTTTATCGCTAGGTTTAATACTCAAATTTCCCATTGAGAGGGCCAATGTGCGTTTATCATCTTCCATATCGAGTTGATTGGTTCAGCTGCCCGTCACTACCAGATCAACTGTCCATTTGCGCATGTGCGAAGGTAACTCTACTTGGACAAACTGCCTGAAATGTGTTGACAGAAGCATTTCGGGGATTTTGACACATTCTGCACTCCAGATGCTTTAATTGCGTTAAAAATTTTAATCATGTTGACCTTGATGGCGGATTAATTTGCGTTAATGCGTTAATTTCGACAGCACTAGTTCAGTTCCTTCTAATGATCTCTCCTTGTTGAATTCCAGCAGAGGTGAAAACAGGTCTAAACATCACTCTGACTGTAATTTTCTTTTCACCGAAAACTACAAACTGTTCATCTGTTACACACAGCTATACTTTCACTATATTTCTATACAGGTACATAAAAGTGTTAAGTACATATTCCAAGTAATACTGCAAAATAAAAAATAAATAAATCAGCAGTTCTTCAGCTTCTGGAAGAAGTCAGTTGAATAGTGGGACTTGAAAAAAAATATATGTGTGGCTCAGGCCCATTCATTATTTCATAGAAGGTACATATCTGGTGTGTATCAGAAAGCCGTTTTTCTCACATCGCCTCAGAGCAAGCACTTCATTAAAAGACTCAAGATCAGACAAAGGAAACATGGAGCTGAGTTCCATTCTGAGTTCAGAAGCCATTTCAGACCTGAGCACGCACAGACACAGATCAGAATCATAGCATAATAGTAATAAAAACTTGTTACACTGTTTATCAACTAGTCTTTGTAAGTGAGAGGCCAGCAAAACATCAAGAAATAGAAGTTTGTGGAGCTACAATAGGCCTAGGCTGCTGAGGGCTTTCCTCCTGTTAAAAAGGGGTTTTCACTCCCACTGTTGCCAAATGTTTGCTCATAGGCAGTTATTTGATTGTTGGGGTTTTCGCTGTGTTGTTATAAGACCTCTATCTTACAAAATCCCTTCAGACAGTTGTTGTTGTGATTTGCTGTTAAATGAATAAAACTTAACTGAATGAAAAAAAAAGTTCTCCTTCACCAGATCAAATCATCAACAGCTTGCAGATCAGATCAACTTGCTACAAAATAAAAGGTTTAAGCAGCTGATGTGCTTATTACCTGCACCGAACCACAGTCGCACTGCTCTCCTTCCTCTTTGAAGCCGTTTCCACAGACCGCGGGAGCCACGACACTCTTGTAGTCTGGTTTGTCCAGCAGACAGCTGGGGCTGCGGCTTGTTAGGTACTTTTCATAGTTGCTGCTGCTGCAGCTACTGAAGCTTCGAGGAGTTTTCCAGCTGAAGAGGAACAAACACATTATTAGTATTATTATCTTTTTTTGTGTTATCTTTATCAGTGTCTGACACTAGGAAGACATGGCTGCACAAAAGCGGTATGGTGGTACATATACAGCACGTACGCACCAAACATGCTCACACACGTTCTTCAGTCTAATAGCCATGTGAGATTAAGAGCTGCACCAGCTGACCTCCTTTTTGGTCCAATACACACAGTTATTATGTTGTTGTACCAAATGAAACATGTTATGATGATCAAAACATTTAGTGAGGTTTGTAAGGCTCGTATTGTTTATTTACGGTCACTTGTTATAGCCTGAATTTATTTGCTAACAGAAAGAATCTGCATTCAATTTGAAGGATGTCTCAAGTCAGCTTTTCTTACCTGAGGGCTGCTGCCATGATGCAGCTATCGTCAGAACATAAACAACCACTGGAGTCATCGTGGTCCATGCCCAGGTTGTGGCCCATCTCATGAGCCAGTGTTGCTCCCACTGCTATGGCTGCATCACTGTGATCCTAAGAAAAATGAAGCACAAGAAAAAAGAAGTAAAAGTTCACTAATGACAAGATAGAGCAACGCTCAAAACTGATTGGTTAGTCAAAGAATGAGTTTTATAGTACTGCGATGCAGTTTTGGAGATCTTGCTAATTTCTCTGACTAATGTGCAAAAAAGACTTGGACTCAGTTTTGAGTCTAGATGTAGATCATAAACTTTGTTCAGTTCAGGAAGCGGTCACTACATATTGGTAATGGAATGATGGAAAGGTCATTAGTTTTCTCTGGCATTTGGTCACAAGTATCAGATGAACAAATAAGTTGATTTTTGAGGGGCAAATGAATGAATGAACTAAATATCTGAAATAATCCCATGGATTTAGGAACATGTTTCCAAAATTAACAATTATTTACCACACCATTAAGCAAGAGCAGAAGTTATGAAGTCAGTGAGATACATCATCTGGGGACCATGAATGCTTGAATTAAATTTGATTCCTATTAATTTAATATATTTTAAAAAGTTTCACTGGGTAACTCAATAAGTATTGCATGAGTATGGCAAGAATCAGAAAACCATCAGCCTCAATATGATTTAGACTTTGCAACATAAGCTACACACCAAAAGACACCGGTCTCAAAATATCACAGAGGTAAGTATAAAGATTAAAGTCTTCCTATCCTCCTAGAACACCTCACCTGTACTACGCCGACAGAGTGACCAGAACAGAGAGTCCCGATGAAAGCAAGACCCACAGTTGGTCCTTCAAAGTCGATACCACTGAAAGATAAGCCTTAAATTCATATCCAGGATTCATATCATTCATCTACTCACTTATATTTTCAAAAACACCCCCACTGCCAAAGGTCGTTAATGTTACTAGATTAGCTACTGTGAACTTTCCTGATTGTGGAATGTGGAGGTGGATACTCACAACTCAGATTTTTGAAATTAGTTTTCTCTTTCCTGCTCGGTTACTGTTGAAAGTAGGAGACATTTTGCTCCACATGATTTGAGTCTGACTGGATTCTACTTATACAATTTATCCATACCTTATAAGATGTGCATTGTCATGTTTTATCCTCGTCACCAG